CTCACCAAGAGAGCAAATCAGTAGTTTCAGAGATTTGGATTATTTCCAGGGTGAAATGTTCAGCAGGATGCCAACAGCCAGCCACAATCACAGTGGAACAGCTGATGTAGTTTAACCTGGCTGGAGGCGGGGCTTTAAATAAGTTGAGGAGTTTGGGCAAAACAGGAAGTGGGCCCGCAACAATAAAAGTCTTGATTGACTAATTACGGGTTACTAGTAGTTGAGTACTTCAAATCCCCGTTCTCATCTCAAAAGACATCACCCAGAGTTTTTGCTAGAATTGAAAAAGACACAGTAAAGACAGTGCCAACACGACCAGCCGACCAGCACACACTTCACCACTTCGAAAAACTGCCATATAATTGTAAACGGGCAAAGAAGATAACAAAATCCATCGCTTGTTTTATTACAAAAAAAAAAAAAAAAACAGTGTATAAATCCAAGACATGTTTTCTTGGATTTACCTTTCGGTGTTTACATTATTGCAATAGGTAAATAAAACATTTACAATTATAAAGTCTTTGTAAATGTACTCTTCTTTAATGCCAGCAGACTGGAATAGATCCTGAGAATCGTTTTGAATCGTAAATTAATTGTTTCTGAATCATTTGGATTTAAAAGAATCGGAAAAAAATCGAATGGTGACCCCAAGAATCGAATCTAAATCGAATCGTGGGAATCCCAAGGATTCACAGCATTGGGCAATGAAGAGTTATTTGATATGGAATAGTTATTCTCAAGGTTATTCACAATTTTCAGCATTTTTTTACAGTTGCTAAATCGAATGCCTGGGGTTGGAGGGTTTATTTATTTAAGTGATTAATAATGGCTAAAAAAAATCTGGCCTAATGAGACAGATCTGTATTTAATAAAAATGGATATCAGTTTAGGAGTAAAAAAGGTACACAGAGTACTCTAGTAGGGAGTTAATTTTATTCCATTATTGTTGAAGTTTCCAGGGAGGAAAATTAAAAACTTTTTAAATCAATAAATGTATGAGAATGAATTTACTATTTTCTCAGATTATTTTCAAAATACTATTTACTTCTTATAAAATTCTTTTTACAGATTTTCATTTTGAAATTTCTGTTCTTCAATTTGAGGGTTAAGAAATGCATTGTTTTTAAAGTCTGTTTGACAGATCACATCTACTGCAAGCCCAATACAAATGCATGCTCTACATCTTACACTACTCAATAAAAATTAAAGGATCACTTTGTAATCAGAGTATAGCATCAAGTTAATTAAACTTCTGGGATATTGATTTGGGCAGGTAAGTAGGAGGGGTTTGTTAATCAGTTTCATTTGCCTTGGTGTTAATGAAATCATCAACAGGTGCACTAGAGAGGCAACAACGAGACGACCATCAAAACAGGAATGGTTTTACAGGTGGAGGCCACTGATATTCTTTCCCCTCATCTTTTCTGACTCTTTTTCACCAGTTTTGTATTTGGCTAGGGTCACTGTCATTACTGTTAGCATGAGGTGCTACCTGGACCCTACAGAGGTTGCACAGGCAGTCCAACTCCTCCAGGATGGCACATCAATACGTGCCATTGCCAGAA